CACCACTACGCCTGGCTTAAAATTTTATTTTTAAGTTTTTGAAAGCTTGTTTTAAACACTAAAAGGGTTTTTGTTGTTGGTTTGTTTTCAGGGTTACTAGGAATTGAACCCAGGGTCTTGTGCATGATTAGCAAATACTCATCACTGAGCTACACCCTCAGCCCTAACCACAAAAAGTTTGAAAACTGTGAGATGTCTATTAGATGTCTAAATGGATAGTCTGGTAGGTAGTCACACAAGCACGAAGCATGAAGCCCCAGGGGAAGGTAACTGGGAATCCTTAACCCTCACCTTACAGCTTCTGCATTTTGTTTTGGTTTTTGAGGCAGATTTTTGCTATGTGGCCCAGGTTGGCCTGAAACTCACAGTAGTCCTCAAGTATTTGAGTCTCTGGCCCTTAAACCTCTTACGCCAACTCTAACCCTGAACAGGCAGCTTTTAAATCCACAGGACTGGGACAGTAGGAATCCCTTTATGTTGCCAGTGATCATTGTTGTCATCTGAGGTTTCATGTTACAGGTTAGACACTTTGACAGCCCCTACCTGTTGTACCATGAGAAGATCAAAACCAGCCGAGTGTTCATCCGGGACTGCAGCATGGTGTCTGTGTACCCCCTGGTCTTATTTGGAGGAGGCCAAGTGAGTGTGCAGCTTCAGAAGGGAGAGTTTGTTGTCTCTCTGGATGATGGCTGGATCCGGTTTGTAGCTGCTTCCCACCAGGTAAAGGAATAACTGTTGTGAAGTCTTGGGTCATGGAAAACTTGGAGGACATGAAATGTAGAGCAGTCTTTTAAGGACCAAGAACAGAGCTAAGTAAGAGTAAATGATGGAGCAGGGCCTGGTGGCACACGTCTTTAATCCCAGCGCTGGGGAGGCAGAGGCAAGCAGATTGCCTGAGTTCAAGGCCAGCTTGTTCTACATAGTGAGTTCCAGGCCAGCTGGGGCTACAGGGAGACCCTGTCTCAAAAAGACCAAAAAAAAAAAAAAAAAAAGAGTAAGTGATGGGTCTGCGAGTAGGCACTAAGAAGGAGTGAGGGTAACGAGACAGCAAAGGTACCCTGAAGTGCCTGGGGCAGAAAAACCTGAGATGAGTTAGAGTTGGTGTAAGAGGTTTAAGGGTCAGAGACTCAAATACTTGAGGACTAACTACCATGAGTTTCAGGCCAACCTGGGCCACATAGCAAAAATCTGCCTCAAAAAAACAAAACAAAAAGCAGAACCTATAAGGTGAGGGTATTGGAACATCTGTAATGTTATACAACTAAGCAATAAATAAATAATAAATAAATAAATAAATAAATAAATCACTCTGATGTCACCATTACAATGAAAGAAAGAGTTCAGATTGTAGTTCGTAGGTTCAATCCCTCCCAGCTATATAAATAAAATGATGAAATGAAAGAAAATGAAAGGAGCTATATATGCCTGTAATCTTAGCCACTCAGGGCACTTAGGCAAGAAAGAGATCACTTGGGCCAGGTACTTAAGACCAGCCTAGGCAACATAGTAAGGACTTATGTAAACAAAACAAAACAAAATGATGATATACCTCAGTGGTAGCGCATGCACTTAGCATGTATAAGGCTCTGGATACAATACCCAATACTAAAAAATAAATAAATAAAAGTAAACTGGGCATAGTGGCACATACCTTAATCCCAGCACTCAGGAGACAGAGGCAAACGGATTTCTGTGAGTTCCAGGCCAGTCAGGGCTACATAATGAGACCCTTTCTCAAAAAAGAGTTTATGGCCAGCCTCAACAATATAGCAAGTATAAGGCCAGCCTGGGCTATGTGAGATCTTGTCTCAAAAACAAAACAAAACAAAACAGGCCAGCAAGATGATTTAGCAGGTCACGAAGATCCACCAAGTCTGACAACCTGAGTTCAGTCCCTAGAACCCTCATGGTGAAAGAAGAGAACTGACTCCTGCAAGTTGTCTTCTGACCTTCACATGCATGTGTGACTCTCCTGCATATACACGTGTGTCGCACACACATACACACAATAAAATAAATAAAAATAAAAAATAAAAAACCATGGTTCTCAGGCCTGTAATCCTATAATCCTAGCATTAAGGAAGATGAGTCAGGAAGATTTCTGAGTTAGAGGCCATCCTGGGTTACAATGTGAGACCCTGTCTCAAAAACCAAAGAAGGAGGGCAGGGAGATGGCTCATTGGTAAAGTGCTTTCTGCACAAACATGATTCAGATCCCCAGTACTCATGTAAAAGCCAGGTACAGTGGCACTCACCTGTAATCATAGAACTGGGGAGGTGGAGACAGGAGGATACCTGGAGCTTGCTGGCCGTTCTAGCTAATCAGCAAGCTACAGCTTCAGCGAGAGACTGTCTCAAAAAGAAGAGATTGAAGAAGACATCCAATGTTGTCTTCTGGCCTCCACATACACACATGAGCACATGCATATACATGTACATACACACACAAATACACAAACAAACACAGACTTCAAAAAAGGAAACAAGCCAGGCAAGGCGGTGCACACCTTTAATCCCAGCACTTAGGGGACAGAAGCAGGCAGCTCTCTGTAAATTCCAGGTCAGCTGGGACCACATAGTGAGACCCTGTCTCAAAAATAAATGAATAGTAAATACATAAATAAATAAATAAATAAATAAATAAATAAATAAATAAATAAATATCCCTGTTAAACCAATTCCTATGACCAGAGAATTGTCCTCTTTTTCAAGTAGAGTACCTGAGCCATTCACCCTGGTGGAGTTCATAGCATGAACCTATTTGAAAGATGCCAGGAGCCCAAATGGCCCAGCTGCTGCACAATGGGGAGGGGCAAACAGATATTGAGATGGCATCTACGAGGCCCCTACATCAGCATAAACATTTGAACATTTGCCATTTTAAATTCTCTATATTTCCTGGGGGCTGGGGAGATGGCTCAGTGGTTAAGAACACTGAGTGTTCTTGCAGAAGGCCTGGGTTCGAATCCTAGCACCCACATGGCAGCTAAGGTTCGAATCCCAGCACCCACAACTGTCCATAACTCCAGTTCCAATAGCCTCTTCTGTCCTCCGCGGGCATTGCATGACACAGGTGCATTTCCTGCTTCTTTTGGACCAAAGTGTAAAAGTCACCTAAGGGGCTGTGGATATGGCTCAGTCAGTAAAGTACTTGCCATACATACAAACAGGCAGACCTGAATTCAGACCCCTAGCATCCAGGTTAAAAAGCCTGATGCAGAGCTGGAGAGATGGCTCAGTAGTTAAGAGCACTGGCTATTCTTGCAGAGGACCAGGCCCTATTCCCAGCACCCACATGGCAGCTAAGAACCATCTGTAACTCCAATTCCAGGGGAATCCAATGCCTTCTGACCTCCCTGGACATTGCATGACACCGGTGCAGACAATATATTCATACACATAAAAAAATAAAAATAATATTAAAAATTTAGGGAAAAAGCCTGATGCAGGGCTGGAGAGATGGCTCAGAGGTTAAGAGCACTGGCTGTTCTTGCAGAGGACCTGGTAGCACCCACATGGTAAACAATGATCTATAACTACAGTTCCAGAGGATCCAGAACCCTTTTCTGGTCTCTACAGGCATTTCATGCATGGGTACGTTTACATACATGGAATGTATGTAAACATAAAATAAAAGACACATAAAATAAAAGACACATAAAAAAAAAGTCAATTAAACATATAATTTAGTGGTGATACATGTCGATAATCCCAGTGCTGGGGAGACAGAGATAGGAGAACACCATGGGCTTGCTGGCCAGTCATTACAGCCAAATTGGTAAGCTCTGTGTTTAGTGAGAGACCTTACACAAGAAAATAAAGGTGGAGAACAATTAATGAAGATACTTGCCATCAACCTCTGGCTTCCACCCACACACCCACAAATGCACTCACATACACCCCCCCCCAAAAAAAAGTCAGCTAAGCTTTAACATGATGAATACTTCATAAGTCATACTCCAAAAGTAGCCTTTTCTTCAAATGAGGTATATAAAGCAGGACATGGGAACATGTATAAATAATCCCAACACTCACAGGCTGAGGCAGAAGGATGACAAGCTCCAGGCCAGCTGGCTACATAGCAAAAGCCTGACTCAAAAAATAATAGGCTGGGTATGGTGGCGCATGCCTTTAACTCCAGCACTCAGGAGGCAGAGGCAGGCAGATCTCTGTGAGTTCAAGGCCAGCCTGGTTTACATAGTGAGTTCCAGGCCAGCTGGGGCTACAGGGAGACCCTGTCTCAAAAAGACCAAAATAA